GTTTTTTTTATCAATTGTCACCCATTTACCCTAGGGAGGGGGTACATTTTGCTATAGTTTATGGACATGAGACTTTTCAGTATTGGAGAGGGACAAAATTCCCTGCTATACATATGTAACATTTGTTTTTGTCATATCACAACAACAAATAACAATTGTATTACAACTCAGGTGACCTGTTAAACCCATGGGGCCCTTGTTTTAATGTGCTGTATTAGTTGGATGTGTTGATATTGGCTTCCAATAATAATTCGTCTATAGCTACTTACCTATAATTAGATGTGGGTTACAGGGACATGTCACATGCTTATTAAGTGTGCAGCAAAATACATATATACTGTGATGCTCATTTATAATATATAATATCTTCCATTGTATATATTTGCAACCAGTCAATATCTTTCTCAACTCCCTGGGGAGCATACAGCCAGTGCTGCCATTTCGGCACTCACAGCTAGCATTCTACATTTCTAGCACTGCCAAACCACATACTCATTTACAGCTGAGTAGACTGGAACAAGCGGAGTAAAGTATCTTGCTCGTGAATTAGTAAACTGAATATTTCATTTGGAATCTGCTTCAAACTTTGGGGGAAAAGTCCAGTTACCATAAATGCTCCCCTGTGTGATAAAATTCATTTGGAAAAGGAACTGAAATATAAGACATTCTTCATTTTTGAAATCATATCTAAGTTCCCTAGTTTATGATCTAGTACCTGACACTTTTCATAAATAAAGATCAAGAGATTAATTTAATCTACTAAAATAACCTTATGTACACATACATTATAAGTATAACTATTCTTGATAAAAATTTGCCTGTAAAATATATTTTATTGTGAATTTTTTCTGGGACTTAAAATCAACCTAGAGAGGTCAAGTTAGATCACATGTAAAAATAAGCAGTTAATGTTCTGGGTATAATAAATTGTCAACAAGCAAGACAAGTGATGTGAATGATAACTGACATCAACTATCTGTATCTTTACCTCAAAATTGCTGTAAATTCATTAACCAGAAACTTTGAATAAACGGCATACCTCAGGTAGACACGTGTCAAAGAAACCAATACTTCCTCATTAATAATATAAAACAAATACCCCCCCCCCCCCCAAATCAAACCAAACTAGAATTCTTCAACGAGGCTGTGTACGAAAAAGAACATAAATCAAGATGAATTTTAAAATCTCACTTTATATTTGAGTATGTGGTGACTGATTATGACAATAATTCTGCGCTCTTACCGAGTTTAGCATCATTACAGCTGCACTACTGCAGTACTGGACCCTCACCATATAAATCCTCAGCAAACTACTTTCACTTGTCTCATTCTGGTTGAAAATGACGTGCAACAGATTAACAAATGACAGTGATTCTCACCAATAAGAACTTTTTCTGACCTTTATTCTTTTTGGCCAACAAAACCAATGGTCATTTGAATAATCAAACCGAACAACTTCACATACATTTTCTAAGTTCCCAATGGCTCTTCGGAACACTAGAGTTTCGTTCGGCAAAGTTTATAACTCGGGATTATTCCAGCCATTTTAGTATATAGTAATGTGTGCTTCCTAATACCAATCTTTAAAAATATATGCGTTAATATAATAATTAATATTTAAATATATCAACTAAACTTATCAATAATATCTTATATTGGTGTTAATTACACTTGCGGTAGAAAAATACGAAACAGTTTGAGCGCAAAGCTAGTTTTACACAGCTGCCGTTTGCCGGACTCCGAAATTCTTGGGAGAGCGAGTGGTCCGAATCGAAGCTTACGCTTGATAGCACACAGTAGTACAATTTTTTCAATTTCAAACGTATTTTATTGACAATACATATATAATACATACATATAAGTTAACATTAAAGAAGATATTAGAACAGTATTGACAAAAGAATAAGACAACAGGCTTTGTCTATATCAGTCTTCTTCTATTTCCGGTAGCTTTGTACAATGCTTAAATATATAAAATGTTGTGATTCGTTTTCCTCTCACCCACACCCACACCAGCTTATGTCTAATACTCGTTATTTAAGGGACAAAACTTGCCTGAATAATAATAACAATACATGAATATTCATTTGGAATTTATCTAGCACGTATAAGTAACGAAACGTTTTGATGATTTAATATAAGAGTCAACATGTATAAGAATAGTTTTATTTAATTGGTCCGATGCATTATTAATACCATAAACTAAACAGTGCAGATTTAAATATCCTAATAGATTATAAATAGTGGTAATATGATGCCTAATATTTGAATACAGAGGACATTGAAAGAAAAAATGTACTAGATCTTCCCTCTGTACACCACATACACAGGAAGCATCATCAAGCAGATGGTCTTGTAACTTATCAAAGTTAAGATCACTTTTAAAATTTCTTAGTTGACATAAAATGATGTAAAGTTTCCTCGGAACACAGTTAATAAAAGTTTCTGAGACGGATGTATCACAGTTTTTTTTAAGTTTCTTTTTAAAAGATGAAATTGAGATGGAGTCTCGTACAGTGCTATCAAGTGCATTCCATTTTACCATTGTAGAAGGGAAGAAGCTATTCATATAAGTAGTAGTTCTTGTCTGTGGTATATTAAAGAATCTGTTATTTCTGAAGGTATAGTTATTATTTACATTTAGAAATGGTTGAATGATATTATCGAGATAAGTTGGAGTGTAATTATTAAGAATCTTATACANATATACAATGACTGCGCGTCAGCGATCACGGCTACCGAGGCACCCTAAATCATCAATATATGATTAAAAAACATGAAAATGTTAGTGTATGCTTGTTTCAAATTTTGTGAAACTATGAATTCAAACGCCTTCGTGATAGTGAATAAAGCGCGGGAGATGCTTAGGTCACGTGACTAGGCAAAGTGTTATGGCGTCAAAGGAATCCGTCCTCATCTTTCTTGGTGAATGAATGAAACTAGTGATGGCAAGTAGTCGTGACCGGCGAAAAGTTGATTTCTAATCAAACGCTAATAATTCAATCATAATTTCTCTTGATTCAAAAGTGAGTTTACACCCATATTTTCGCTATGGCCGGTTTGACAGTTGGCACTCGCGTCGCTGCCGTATTTACCCACGTGGAATATTACGGCAACCAGTGTTGTGGTTATGGTCAGCTCTGTGACAGCGCAACTGTTGATGATCTGGCTGAAAAAGTAGAAATTTCAGCTGCAGAAGCACCATACGCTTCATCATACAAAAAGGGTGACATTGTTTTGGCCCTTTATAGTGAAGATGGGGTGTGGTATCGAGCGAGAGTCGAGAGTGAAGACGGAGGTGTCGCTTCAGTGTTTTTTATTGACTACGGAAATAAAGAGAAAATAAACAACTCTGACATTAAAGTAGCAACAGATGAATTACAAACTACACAAGGGTTGGCGACAAAATGTGAACTGGTAGACATATTGTCAAATGGAAATACATGGACGCTCTCCGAAACGGAACAGTTGGATGCTCAACTTGTTGGTTTCGAATTCACTGTCGAGGTCGTGGGATCAAGTGGGCCTAATTCAAATAATGACGTGGCGTTAAGACTTTATAGCGATACTGGACTGTTCAAGCATGGAAAAGAGCCAACAACAAAAAACATAAAATCCTCCAATGCAAATGATCTTCAAATTGGTATGCAGTATAATGCATATGTATCCTATGTCGACAGTGCCAATAAATTTTGGATTCAGTTGGTAGATCAAGAAAACGAGTTGAATGATCTCATGACCAACCTGGCAGACTCTGCTGCTGGTGGAGCAGAGAAACTTGATCATGTATCTGCAGCGATGCTTTGTATGACTTTCTACAGTGAAGACCATGCGCCTTACAGATCATCCATTCTAACCGTCAACGGCAACACAAGTCTAGTTCAGTTTGTTGATTATGGAAATTCAGAATCAAAAGATGTATCGGAACTTTTGAAATTGCCACAGAACTTTCACAGATTACCAGCAATGAGTATAAAATGCTGCTACAAAAGAACTAAAGTTGATAATAACACACTGGAAGAAAAATTGCAGGAATTGACAGACTCTGATGGCGTGCTTGTACGAGTTTTGGGTCGAACAGATGATGTTTACAATGTAGAAATTGACAAAATAGAAAATATTTCTGCAGTCACACCTCAGGTCAGAAGTCAACATTTTATTCCCATGGAGTTGGATAGCACCAAAGTGTATGACATTTGTCTATCATATGTTGAACACCCTGGAAGATTCTTCATTCAGTTGTTAGAAAATGGACCAGAATTGGATCAGATAATGGTAAGAGTCGCACAAGAATTTGGCTCCAACACTGCAGTACCTTCCCTTTCAGGTGGCACTGCCTGTATAGGACATTTAAGTGATGATCAACATTACAGGTGTGTGCTTCAGTCTGTGTCGGGAGAAAACGCTGTGGTACATTCTGTGGACTTTGGATTTGAGGAAAATGTAAAAGTAAATAGATTACATGCCATGTCCCCCGTTTTACTGACTGTGCCATGCTATTCAACAGAGTGTACTGTGGATGTGACCAAAACCCAAGATAAATTTTGGTCTACTACAGAGATAAAAACATTGAAAGACTTTGAAAGTAAAGTGTCATTGGTAGCTAAAGTTACAACACGTAGAAGTAATCTTTATCAGCTGGACTTGTACGACACACGAGATAGGGACGAAGACCGATACATTAATGCTGAGATGTTGGGTGTAGGCAAATCAGCTCAAAAGGCACACGCTATCAAAATGGAAACGAGAAGAGCAGAACCTTCAGCAGTAACACACACTGTTGTACCAATTCCCTCACCAGAAACCACAACTGGCAGTCAAGAATTGCTCTGTATCACAGCAGTCAAGACGCCTAGTATAGTATACGGACAACTTACAAAGACAGATGCCAAAAAGATTGAATCACTTCAGATAAAGTTGAATCAAAAATACGATCAGATGACTTCTGGAGAAATGATTCTTTCAGATTGTTCTTTGGGAAGTTCGTGTAGCACACGTTACAGTGACGGGGGATGGTACAGAGCTCTGGTTACACAGAAACACGGGAATACCGTATCCATAGCATTTGCAGATTTTGGAGATGAGACCATCAAGCAGCCTTTAGAATTAAAACAGATGCTTCCCGAGTTTGCCGTCCTTCCTCAGCAGTGTATTCTGTGTCAGTTGCCAAGAGTGTCGCCTTCCATCAGCAAAGAGATGACAGAGAATCTCCTACTCAACAAAGTGATAGAAGTGAAATTAATATCGAGAAAAGGTTTGTACTGTAGAAAATCTGAAAAACCCCTAGCAAATTACTATCTTTGATATGAATTAAAAATATACTATATAGATACATAGTTCATCATTTAGTTTTCAAGTGGATCTTTTCATATATTGAAATTCAGAGAATCTTTTTATTGGGTAAATATAGCAGACTGTACATGAACAATTAAAATGTTTCAAGGAATTAGAATTGAAGTTTGTATGTCATTTATTAATGGTGTGCAACAAAAGAAATTATTCATTATACTTATAGAAATATAAAACAGGTAAAATTTTGATGAACTGCATGCCTGTTCATTTGATCTATATGTAAATGTTGTGATTCAATATTACAGATGGAGCATACCCGATATATGATGTGGAACTCACGAGCAACATTCGGAACCAAGGGCTTGCTGGGAAACTCGAAGGAAGTTCAGTGGGTTCAAAACAACCTCCCAGGCTACCCAAAGCTGTAGCAGTAAACAAAGATGCCAGGTATTGAAAGTGCATTGCTAAAGGAAATATTTTTACATGTTCCACAGTCATATTGCCAAAAGTTCATGTCCTTACTTCTTCTCCATGTTTCAACTCTGATAATATTGGGGTCACGGTGGCCAAGTGGTTAAGGCATCTGACATTCTGCTACCACTAGCCCTCCACCACTGGGTCGCAGATTCGAGACCTTTGTTGAGCAGTTGCCAGGTACTGGCTGTAGGTCAGTGATTTTTTCTCGGGGGAACTCAAGCTTTCCACCACCACCAAACCTGGCACATCCTTAAATGCTGTTCATAGGACATAAAACACAAACAAACCAAACTGAAGTGAGTCTCGCACTTGTCCAATTATTAACAAGTTTCCTATAAAGATGCTCCGAATGTAAAAGTTGATTTTTCGCTATCACCTGAATGAAACCGGAAGCATTTAGAATTCAGCAGTAATATGAATTTTCTCAATTTCTTATTCAGCAGTGCTAGCTTTAATAGGCCACTGTTGGTCCAAGTCAGAAAACCTGTGATCTTGTTTATTTTTAACAGGGTGAGGACACTGAACAGAGGAGATGGCTATAACTGTTTACAAGTCGACACAGGATGTTCCCAGGAGGTGATGGTAACTCATGTGGTGGACCCACAACATTTCCATGTCCAGTTGACCAGTATGGCCAAACAGTTAGACACCATGATGGACACACTGCAGGCCCATTACGGCAGCCTGACGGATACAGAAGGGGCCCTGGTGAACCCCATGCTAGGACAGCCATGTATAGCCAAGTACACGGACGACAACAGCTGGTACAGGGCAAAGGTTTCAGGTTTGTATACAAGATAGTTCTCCATTATCGTACCCCATTAGTGGAGAGGGTATTTCATAGGCTTTGTCAGTGTGTTCGTCTGTCTGTCCATAGTAGCAGGATGCTCATGCCTGCCACATTTTGAGTAATTTTAAATAAATTGAGATGGTTTTCGCAATTATTTATTTGTCTCTGATGAGACTCGGAATACATTCAAATACACAATGAGATGCATAGCACAAGATGTGATTTATATATTTATATGTATTTAAAAGCAGAAAAATGATCCTTTCGGACTAAGAAATAATATAAAAAGAAAAATTCTCAACAACGAGTCTATAGTACTTTCATCTCGTCAAGGAGATTCTTCAGACTGTTTATTTGAAGTAGATATTATGACGTCATAAACTATGACGTTGCATAATAGTTCGCTATAGCGACGTCCGCTATGTGCGTACCACCATAGCGATATCGCAGCAATAGAAATACATAATTATGGTCTTAAGGTAAAGAGTACTATTTGTATAAGATTTAGAATTACTATAAATACTATTATTTATAAGAAAGAAAAAAAATCCATTGTGGAGCGAACTAGGGACCATCACATTACTGACCCGACACACTACCAATGTCACTACAACAGATCAATTATGGTGACGTACATTTACAAATATCACTCTTCTGTAGACAATAAAAAAACGATAAAAACCACTGATCGGAACTTGTGTATGCACATTCTTTCAAATGCAGAAGTACTCTCTACCTTAAACGTTACATGAAGTAAGAACATTATAAAATATAAGTCAAACAGTACTGTTCAAATGGAGTCTTGTGAAGTCTGATTTATGTGTGGACATTTATAACTGCCTAAGTACTCGATTACAAATGTTCATTCTGTCCCCAATGGCCTCTTTAGAATTTTTAAATACAACATTACAAATTACAGATTCCCATAGAATTAGAAACTGCTTACATTTAGCTTTAATAAAAGAATTATTAGAACCATAGTGAAATTGGGGGAAAAATGGAAAACCCTGATTCAGTCCAATGGAACAAGCCTAGGTGTTAATCAATTTCAAATTACGACCTCATAATGAAAATGAAATTTTTCAAAGCGAAATTTTTGACCAGATTACAATGTTGGAGTTCTAAAGTAATTTGTTGAAATTTTCATTAATATTAAAATGAAAGCAAAATATGCATGTCCTTAGATTCAAAATCATGCTCAACGCAATGATATACACAATCAAATTTGAACAAGAATTGCATTTAAAAATTTGATGTGTATATAATATCCTGGGTCCTTGTCATAAATGCAGAAAAATTACAGATTTGGTTCTTGCAAGACAACATGTCAAGAATGTAATTTTTGTTCCGTTATACCACAGGTCTACTGAAGAATGGATTAGCAGAGGTAACGTTCGTGGACTACGGTAACACAGAATGCCTTCAAAGAGAGACACTGAAGACTGCCAGTCAAGAGTTCATGGAGCTTCCCGCACAGGCCATATTTTGTGGCTTGTCAGGTAAAACACTTAATTCAAAGAAAACATATTTGTAACAACTGTGGCACTAATAATTACAGAGTATCATGTTCAGTATAATAAAAAACAAGTTTTACATGGTATTATGTTCAGTATAATAAAAAATAAATGTTACAGGGTATTATGTCAGTATAATAAAAAATAAATGTTACAGGGTATTATGTCAGTAAAATAAAAAATAAGTGTAACTTATAGTGATGTTCATGGTTGTAAATTATAATGTTATATTGCCAAAAAATATGTCATTTTGCATCAAACATAAGGAACAAATTTACTACTCAAATATTCACATAAAAACATTACTTTTATCCACTTACGATCTTTGGTAGTTGTCATTTAAGTCAGAATGTTAGAATGACGCATCTGAAAAAGTTCACTTTGAAATATTTGCATTATGTCTGTGTTACATGTATGCAGTCACCTGTTATCTTGTTCCTCAGCATGAGGCAGATATGAATAAAAAGGCGTTATCTCTTGATGGGCTACATATATTACAACATTAGACCTATTTTTATACGACCGTCTAAATTTGACAGTAGTATTATGGTATGGCGTTGGTATGGCGTTGTCCATCCGTCTGTCCGGCGTAAACTTTTTTTGTCTGGCAATCTCCTCCTACATTTTTCGACCGATCTATTTGAGACTTGGTATACATGATAAGCATGACATGAAGTTGTGTCTCCATTAAAAGCATTTTGATTTGACAATTTTTCCAAAAGTAATTGTCCTTTGTTCATTTCAGGTTTTGAATGTTGTCCGGAGATCTCCTACTACATTTTTCGACCGATCTCTTTGAAACTTAATGTACATTATAATCATGATATGAAGTTGTGTCTCCATTAAAAGAATTTTGATTCGACAATTTTTCCAAAAGTAATTGTCCTTTGTTCATTTCAGGTTTTGAATTTTGTCCGGAGATCTCCTCCTACATTTTTCGACCGATCTCTTTGAAACTTAATGTACATTATAATCATGATATGAAGTTGTGTCTCCCTAAAAAGAATTTTGATTCGACAATTTTTTCCAAAATATATTGCCTTTTGTTCATTTCAGTATTTGATTTTTTGTCCGAAGATTTCTCCCACATTTTTAGGTCACCTGAGACAAAGTCTCAAGTAACCTATTGCGATCGCCTTTTGTTCGTCGTCGTCCGTCGTCCGTCCATAAACAATTTACATTTTCGACTTCTTCTCCAAAACCCCTGAACCAATTTCAATGAAATTTTGCAGGGACCTTCCATGGACAAAGGTCAACAAAAATAGTTGCCGGTTTAGTCCTAAGCCCC